CTTTTTTCTTGGGTAAAGACTCAACCGTATTCCAGGCAGAAATCTTTGCCAGTCTACAATGTGCGAGAGAAAACAATAGAAGAGCTTATTCAGGTAAGCTCATCAATATATGCTTAGATAGTCAGGCTGCACTTGGGGCGCTTATGAGTTCAAAGGTATCGTCGAGACTCGTCTGGGAATGCCTGGGTGAACTGGGAGCTCTGGCACGAAGGAACAGAATTAAATTATTCTGGGTGCCGCGCCGGGCTACAGCGGCATCCAAGGCAACGAAAAAGCCGATGAGCTAGCTAGGCAGGGATCGTCGGCATCCTATCTTGGTCCAGAGCCAGTACTGGAAATACCCAAATGTATGGCCTGCAGTGTACTAAAACTCTGGATCAGGGAAAGCACAATGTCCATTGGAGAAACAGAGAGGGGCACAGGCACAGCAAGGCTTTTATCCAAGGACCTAGCTCTACTCGTAAAACCGCAAAAGAACTGCTAATGCTTAGCAGGAATAAAGTGCGGATTACAACAGGCCTCTTGACAGGACACATGGCTGTTAAGTATTACCTGAACAAGCTCAACCTGTATCAAGGAAGTCTTTGCTGCAGACAAAGATAAAGATCTGCGATAAAGATTCAGAAACAGCGGAGCACATAATATGTCATTGCGAGGCTCTGGATCGCAAGCGATACTTTTTATTTGGGAAAGCTAGGCTAGAACCGGAGGAACTATGCTCCAATCCTATCAAGGACAGTAGCGTGGTAAATTCTCTCGGGGCCCCCCTGCAAACTTTATTAGGGCCCCCCCCTAAGTATACTAAAAAAATCCTTCAAATACATCATTATTGTGATATCTGCTTAGAACATATTTTTTAACAAGAGCCACAATGTGATATTTTTTTATATTTTGATAATTGTTTCAACGTTTATTTATTATTATAGTCTCTTAAAAAATACTTAAACTAGAAAACAAACATTTATGCTTCTAATTAATCAAAGTTTTATTAGAAGAAAAAACAACTCAACATTTAACTACTGTAATAACTAAAACACAAATGTGAACAAGAAATTTTATGGTATATTAGAAAGTCTATTCCTATTTCCTCGGCCTTAACAAAAGGAACTTGTTTACGAGGCTGTCCAAATCTACCTCTTTTGCTGGATCATTTTCAACTTATATTATGGCCAGTGAGCTTAGGCGATTTTGGGACATAGTAGACCTCGCAAAACTTTTTATTATTTTCAGCTTAGAAAAAAGTTCTTTCTGGTTCAGCGGATGTTACAGGGAGAACCAGAAACAACTGGAATACAGTGCAAATCTCAGGTATACTGCTGATCAGTAATTGGGGTTTTTCAAAAATAAAATCAGAAAACTCATTAGCTAAGATATTAGATTCCTGGGATTTTAACAATGTTTTTGGGTTTAAAATTTCAAATTTTGAATAAATATTTTGAAATGCCTTATACCTGATTCTAAACTGAGTTATTATTATATCCAAACAAGCATAAAAAATTGTGACTTAAACGACTTTTAGGATTTTCAATGGGCTCATCAGCTGCTATTTCATCAAAAAAGGTTTGACTCTACGAACTCTTTTGTTTTTTAACTGAGGTTCAATATTCCAAGATTTCTCAATTAAAATTGATAGCTCATACACACTTTCAAAATTGTCCCTAACATTTTCTATTTTAACAAGAACTCCTGATATTAGATCTGTGGCCAGTCCTATGTCAATATCATTTTTTTGTAAGCACTTTGAAAACAAGTTAGTATTTTCCAATATTTGTACCTTGGAAATTAAGTAAGAAAATGAATTTGAAATTTTCTGTTTTATCTTGTAACATCTTGGCCTCATCTCTATCAGTACGTTTTTTCAGTATTAACGTTAAATTCGATAGACACTTGACGATGGACAAAAAATTAGTTTTTATCGATAGTATGCTTTCGGCTCTTGACGACCATCTAGTTGGACATCATTTTTTTAAAGTTAAACCAACAGTTTTACTATTTTTTATTTCGCAGTTTAGGCTTTGCCAACGCGCCTGATCAAGGACCTGCATAAGCTAGTGCAGGGCACAGGGATAGGAGAATGGCTGCAGATATAGAAGGGGGACAAACACAATAGGCCTCACAGGTCGCAGTGTTTCCGGCAGAGGACGGCCCCTTGTTATGGAAAAAAAGTCCGCGGTTACATTAGACGCGGGTCCGTGCGTTTTTTTAAACGTGTGAGCTCGGACGGAATTTACTCGCACGACTATTTTATTTTAGTGGTTACACATTAGATGCGCGTTCATGGTGTCGTGTGTCGACTAGAGGTGTGTAGTTCGTGAACGAACTAGTTCCAATGAACTATTCCGACCCCGGAATGAAAGGAACTAGTTCCTGGTTTCTCAAAGGACTAGTTCCTCAGTACCTATTCCGGGATCGAGACTGTGTCCGATATAGAATAATATGCGACGGCGAC